GTCTTAATGTCCAGTCATTGCTGTCATCTTTGTGTATCTTTTTGTAAACCTTGCTTTGTCACCAGATATAGAAGGGTTGCAATTAGGTATAATCCCTAAATACAAGTCAAGCTTGTGTCATTAGCTATTACAAAACCTAGTCCATTAAGCATTGCTTTTAAGACCTTTAAAAAAGCCAAAACACCACAACAAAAACCAAACAACTCCACCTGTAAAAAAACCAACCAACCAACCAAACAAGAAAATAAGCCAAGTTATCTAACTGGTGGAGGAAACAGTCTTTCAGATCTCTCAAGACTCTTTGATCTATAATTTCTTTTTTAAGAGACTCCCTGGTGTAGATAATTTGGTTTGTGTGTGTGTAGACACCTGAAGTATTAGTGAAGGGGCAGTCACATCTTTGGGAAAGCTCCTTAACACTCTTATTTATAATCTCGAATATGCAATAAACCTCAATAAAGTTAGCTATGGAAACTACTTAAAGGAACATTTTTTTTTTAAACAGTCTATACCAAGTAACACTAAACAGGCAAAATAAATATGCAATTAAAATTTAATAACAAAGATACTATTTTCAACATGGTCAAATATACATGGCTAAGCCCCGAATTAAAAAAAAAAAGGAAACGTATCCAGCTCAATAGTCATACAGTTTTGTACAGAACATTCCATAGAGCAACAGAAAATACATGAGCACAAAAATAAAAAATATTTAAAGACAATCTCTAAGCAGCATTTTCTTTCTGCAAAACAGACATAGATCTTGTATTGATTAAATATCTACAAGTGCTTTTCCTTTACAAAAATACATAGATTCTTAATAGATTAAGTCATTAACAATGACCTGGTAATTCTTTCACTTCAATTTGAATGATTCATAAGCTAAATCTTACAACCACAAAAAGGTTTTTATTTGTATTAAGATATTACCACTTTTGACAAAAAGCTTAAAATATTTCATATTTCAAAATAAAATTAGCAACATGACTTTACAATATATTCTGTGCTAGATTTACTGTGAGGGCTAGACTATGAAATGATCGCTGTTGAGTTACCAGACACAGCAAAGTGAAGGAACACATACCCCTCCCCCCCACACTCTTGTCCTGGACCACAGCTTCTTAAGGACACTTGGGCCCCCACTCTCATTCTGAAAAAGACTGCAAAAGAAAACTGGCCGTCAACAATGCCAGGTTGAACTCCAAACATGCACATGTGTAGAAAGAGCCAGTCCTGGTCCCATGTCAATGCACTAGACTGTGTAGAGATGCGTCCAGAATGGGTAGTCTTCACTTGTCTACAGTTTGTTTTCTATTAAGTGCTGCAAGACGGAAGAAAATCAGGCCCAGTACTTAACATATCTATTACAGCTGATTCTAGATTAGAAGACAATTAAGATGAAAACACATTGCTAGAAAGCCTCCATTTTGAATCATGGAAAAGAGGCCTGAGGATAGACACATCCACATGAGAATTTAAAACAATTATTTTGAAAAGTTTAATTCTTACCATTTTCTGAAGTGCCCACACATTTTACAGCTTAGCACAATGAAAGCCCCTACAGTTTAAGGATGATTGATGTATTTTAATCTCATGTTTTGGATCAAAACACACTGAGTGAATCTGACACTGTTCAATTTCTCATGAAGCAGACCTAGCAGACACACTATGTTCCTTATTGCTCTCCAGGGGATGTACATACAGACCTAGCAGACACGCTGTGTCCCTTACTGGTTACATACATTCAGGATTTACATACTAAAAACAATGCTAACAGCATTTCAAGTTTGTATGATTCTAATCCAAACAAGAAGTTTTGGCAAATTCATACTGATATTTTGATATAAAGCATGGATTTCTAGAGAATTCCTTATCCAATCAGAGAAATGGATGAGGGATCCGGCTCAGTTGCAAAGTGCTTATAGAGCAGACTACATGGGCCTATGGGCCATTTTGTCCACTCTGCTGATGGTTTACTTTAGGTAGATTTTACCCTAGAGGTGGTACAGGGAAAGAGTGGCATAACAGGACATTTTTCAGTGCTCAATTTTGTCAAAATTTGGCCACATGGCTAAGTTGAACAACAATAAAGTAGCAGCTGACAGCTACTTTTAAAGAAAAAAAAAATCACAGGCCCTTATGGAATTTTGCTTTAAAAATAGCAAAAGCACTTCTGTAAATCTAGTAGAATATGCTGTGCTGTGTTGTACGCAGGCAGGCCAGCTCTTCTATTGAAGTCTGCCTTCAAGGAAACTTCTCATCTTACTAAGAACCCAGGAGCTATCAGACATAACTTCCTCTATACCACCTCCATGGAATAAAAAACTTCTTAAAATTTAAGAATCTCCATTTTCTTTTATAAGTTTTTTTCTCCATTTTTTTTTTTAAATGGAGAGGATATTTGTTTTACTTCTTTGAGGATTTTCTAAGGTTTACCAGATGGTGCTGAAAAAAAAAGTGAACATATTTGAAAGGAAATATGCTGACTGTAGCAAAAAAGACATTTGACTCATCCCACCAAGAAATCTCAGTGTGGTGACTTCATTGGCAATGTTTTAGTAGTCAATCAAGGTTGCTACCTATTTAGTCACAGCACACCCTAACAGCTCCCATTCTCTGAACTGCCCAAGCTGTCTCCAACATGGTTATTAACAATAAAACATCTTTGGTGATACCTCTATTCTTACAAAACTCTTTTGAAAGACTACTGTAGTTTGCTAAGTGCCCATTTACAATGAGGCCACTTAAGAGACAGGTACAGATAACTGGAGACTTAGGCAGGAAACCTACAACAGAAATGCACTTTAGCAATGAGGCACTTTCTTTTAAATAGTCACTAAAGCTTAACAGTTTACAATATTATATAACACACTGGTTTTCTTAAGGACTTGTTCAAATAAACAGCAGTGCTCACTACGTTTGTACAATGTGGCAGATGAGTATGAGGCAGAGGTTTAGAAAGCAAAGAATATTTAAAAGTTGTGAAAGAACATTAGTCTAGTTACCCAAACCTCAGATTTAATATAACCTCCCCATGAGCCTTTTAGTTTTTTTTTTTTTTTTTTAAGCTTGAGGAAAGGACATTTTCATTTCTCTATTAACTGATGTGATCACTGCAATTCACAGTGATTCTTACAGACCACAGACATTCTTGATTATCCCAGATTCCTTGGCCCCTTTATGTTTGATTTCTAAGGCAGGTAAAACAGGTAAGAAAATCTTTTCTGGAGTAAAGTTCTTTAGTTTATTGCTTAAGGAACAACAAACAGGTTGAAGAATAATGTTCATTTGTTCTTGACTGTATGGACTCAGAGAGTTGTTCCTGAAGATTATTGAAACACAGAGGGCTTTGTTAAACAACCCTGCTCATGTAAAGCTGGCCACGAACAGTGCCTGCTCATGTTTCCTACAGTAGGTTCCTTACAAGGGCAACTAAGTGGCAATTTGGGGCATGTCACACCAGACAAGAAAGTGGTCCACACCTGACTGATATACCGGAGGAAGCTGGCTGAAAAAGCCTGATTCCACAGGCAACATGTTACTCATGTTCCCAAAGGACAACAGCCATCCTTAATGGTATGTTTTGGCACATAGTATACTGCATGTCAGTGAAAACGTCAATGTATAACATTAAACAAAGGACTTTTTATAAAAATGCTTTCTGTTTCATAGTCATTCCCTTGGAAAACAGTCATAACATGTGATCAGGCAATAGGCAAAATTTAAGGAGACCTTGTATATAAAATTCATCTATGGCCCTAAGTCTGGGTTGGGAAGCCAAATAGCCAAGTCTTAGTGTGTGGCTTTCAAAATTGATTTTTGACTTGTTAATTAAAATTAACCTTCTTATTTAAAATACACTTATCTAAATGTGATGAATTGTAGTACCTTTAAATTTTTCTTAGGGATAACCAGGAACTAGGTTTTACAAACAACAAAATAATTTCTGTAGTTAGATAGTAAATTTAGTTTTTGGTCAAGTATAATGGTCTTTTCTAAACTTCTGAGTAAATCAACTGCCTTGTAAATCCTGCTCATGAGTTCTTTCAGGAACAGACAATTTAATAAGATAAGTTAAAGAATTTCTGTGGCCTTCTAATATAGCAAACTTTAATACACTTTTTGATTTGAAAACTAATCACAAACTTTCAGCTGTTTATATGATGAACTACACAGAGACTGAGCTGCACTTTGTGTATTTCTTAGAGCTGTACAATGTTTTATCTCTATGAAGCACTCTGGACTGCAGGAAGCATTAGATTGTTAAGCATTTTACTGGGAAATGTAGAGCACATGTTCACAGTCTAAAAACCAAGTGTGGAATACTCTCGGTACCCTTACCAGATTTCTACAACAAGTCATTTTTCCTATTTCCCCCATTTCTCAGAAGTTAATTTGTTTTTTTCAAAGCAGCCAAGAGATGTGCTCTATAGTTTTCTTTTTCAACTATCTATTTTACAAGACCCAAGATGTTTTTCATGTAATAAGGTAACAGAGGACTCTGATTTGCAGGCTAATTTCAAAATGAATGGAAGACTTAACCAAACTGTCAACATGAAGGACATCACCAATGTTCTGACTTCAGATACACTCACCTTTAATGAACTCACAGTTAAAACAATAATCACACTTCCCTGTTTACTACGTATCTAAAATAAAATATCCCCAAAACATTAATTTTGGTTAAAATATTTATCTACTACAAGGCATTTATTTTGTTTTGTGCCTATGGTTTGGAAATGTGATACGTAACAATTTGGATCAGTAACTTGAGATTTTGGAAATTCATGAATGAGTGAATGGTTATCTAAAATCTTACTACTTAAAACCATCATACATAACTCTCTGCATGCCACAACACATGCCCAAGGCCAACTTAAAAGAAACAATGCTTTCATAAATGGCATTAACAATGCCATGATGCACACATAATATGGGCTAGACAATGGAGTTTTGTAAAGCAACACCCACTTGCCCCAAGACAGTAACAAACATTAACATACTTACACATTAATTTTATTAGAAGTCAGTATGATCAGCTGCCAACATTATGAACTTCAGTTGTTCAAGTCACATGTTTTCAATGTGAAGGGCTAATATACCTTCCTGTGCAATGATAGAGACTACCCAGACATTCAGGGTATCTCCAATTGCAATGTGCTCTGGTCAAAAGATAACAAAGGACTTGCACACTCAAGAATGAGCTGGCATATTGGGGTTTTTTTTTTTTTTTTGGCTGTTTATTCTTTTTTACATAAAAGTTTACCAAGAATAGGACAGTGGCTCAGAAACCACTTTTCTAAATATACTCTTATACAAAATAATTTCAAGATATAATTATACTAGGTTCTTGTACAGTACTCTATTTTAACAAGAATAAAAGTATTAAGTACGTGAAAACTGCAACACCACAAGGATTGAGCCATTTTACTAGTGTAATTAACATTAGAACAATCTTGCAACAGGCAAGCAAAATATTGAGAAAGCAGAGTCACGGCTGCACACCTAAGTGGCTTCAGCCGTGCTTTGCACACTGAGAGACAAAACGAGTATCCTATGTAGATGGTCAGTAGCAGAAGGGCACTTGGATTGCTCCTAATGGAAACAACATGAAGGGAACTGACACTTTAGACAGGCGACGGCCTTATGTGCATGCTGAAGATCAGATTGTGTCTCTCAAGTCCACACACGGCTCACTGTGCAATCTGCTGACGAGTAAACAAATAGTGCAGAGTTGATTCATTCAGTGCAGTCTGGGCCCTTGGCCTACCCAAAATCAATTCTTGGTCGATACTGCAATACCATGGGGTATGACTACAAAAGAGAAAAGGATGAGTAAGACCATATTTACATAAAACAGTGGTTTATACAGAAAAGCTTTGAACAATTGGGGATTATAATCTATATTTCCTGATAACTGTGATTACAAAAGTTAAAATTTAAGTTGTCATTTAAGATTCTAGTTACTATCAGCACCTCTCCCTCTCCTCCTGTCCCTATAGGCTTGTGGAGGACCATAAGTTGCATCCCACCAGCAACTCTGTGGGCTGAGCATTTCAGCCCTGGATTCTCCAGGGTTGCTGCTGGTGAAAACACACCAAACCATACAAGAGTAAGAGACCCTATTCTGCAAATGGGTGAAACCGGAATTTCGACAATACTGTTCATACATCTGATACCTCTTCCTTTTTTTTTTTTTTTTTTTTTTTTTTTTAGTTTTTTGAGACAGGGTTTCTCTGTATTGCTTTGGAGCCTGTCCAGGCTGGCCTCAAACTCACAGGGATCCTCCTGCCTCTGCCTCTGCCTCCTGGGTGCTGGGACTAAAGGTGTGCACCACCAATGCCTGGTTCTTATTTAAATTAAAAACAATCTTACTTTACACACCAATATTAGTTCCCTCTCCTTCCCCTCCTCCCATTCCTCCCACCAACTCCCCATCCCACCCCCCATCCACTCCAGGGAAGGTGAGGCCTCCCATGGGGGATCATCAAAGTCTGTCACAGCATTTGGGGCAGGAACAGGCCCTCCTCCATGTATCTAGGCTGAGAGAGTATCCCTCCATAGGGAATGGGCTCCCAAAGCACATTCATACACTAGGGATAAATACTGATTCCACGGCCAGAGGCCCCATAGACTACTCAGGCCCCCCAACTGACACCCACATTCAGGGAGCCTGGTTCAGTCTTATGCAGGTTCCCCAATTGTCAAGTCTGAGGTCTGTGAGCTCCTACTTCCTCAGGTCAGCTGTTTTTGTGGGTTTCCCTAGAATGGTTTTGGCCCCTTTGTTCATCACTCCTCCCTCTCCACAACTGGATTCCAAGAGTTCAGCTCAGTGCTGTGGGTCTCTACTTATGTTTCCATCAGCTACTGGATGAAGGCTCTATGATGGCATTTAAGGTAGTCATCAATCTCATTATAGAGGAAGGACATTAAAGGTAGCCTCTCTACTATTGCATAGATTCTTGGTTGGGGTCATTCTTGTAGATTCCTAGAAATTTCCCTAGTGCCAGGTTTCTCATTAAGCCCTAACAGCTCTAATAAGGTATTTCCTTTCTGGCTCTTCTCTGTCCTTCCCCCTCTCATGCAAATGCATGGAACTAGAAGAAACCATCTCGAGCGAGGTAACCCAGACACAAAAAGAAAAACATGGTATGTACTCACTCATAAGTGGATATTAGACATAGAGCAAAGGATAACCAGCCTACAAGCCATGATCCCAGAGAAGCCAGGAAACAAGGTGAACCCTAAGAGAGACATACATGGACCCCCAAGAAGGGAAAAGGGACAGGATCTCCTGAGTACATTGGGAGCATGGGGGGGGGGGATTGAGGGAGGTAGGAGAAAGAGGAGGGGAGAAAGCGGGGGGGGGGGACATCAGGGATCAGGAAGGTATAGTTGGGGGAAAAACCGAGAAGGAGAGTAAGGAAAGAGACCATTTTAAAATGGTCCTGTTACAAGTAACATGTTCCTAACTGATAAAAGTAATGGTGACAGTCTCCTTTCAATATGATTTAGAGTTCACAGCTATAGCATAAGTAAAAACTTTCACTGTCCTTGGTGCCATTGTATGTAGCAAGTATCTGGCTGCCAGGTACCTAGCACACAGTCCTAGAGAGGAGGGAGCCTCCTGCAGAGGGAGGCAGGGGCCATCTGCTTCACTGTCACTATCACAGAGAACCGCATCATCAGAAGCAGTCTATAGAAGCCATGCTTTTCCTGCTGTAAGAGCTACAGATTCCCACTTTTTAAATGAGATTCAATGAGTTAACTTCCAGAGAATTAAGAAAAGGCTGAGATGGCCACCAACCAATGTTCTGCTATCTCAGGGTAGGTGGGTACAAAGCCTTCAGTACAGAGAATACTGTATTCCTTAATATAGAAAAGAGGCAGACACAGATTCTACAATTCCGAGATGCCCTGTCAGCACTTACATGCATGTCACACACCGAGAGACTCGAGGCTGCTACCTCGACAGGACAGGACAGGAGAATTGGGGGGGGGGGGAAGCCATGGGCCCTGTTCTCAGCTGAAGGATAAAGCAGGCACTACTTCTAATTAATAGGGTAATATAAAAGTCTCTGACTTGCAAGGTTCCAAAGGTCTTAGCCTTATTCTGCTTTTTAATTTTGTTTAGTTGTCCTCTCTTAAGTTTTACTCTGGTCTTACAGAAACAGCTTACAACTAGGTTGAGCACAAAGTTCTCTATTTCTGAAGCCCAGTCAGATTTTTGAGGCCACTGAGACAGCCAGCCACCTTATCTGATTTTACTAAGCCTGGTCCTATTTCTCTTCAACTCCTGTATTATAGTCTTTTGAACTTTCCTTTCTATTCCTCATTAAAGAATTTGCATATTTTTGCAATTAAATTACCCATTTTAGAATACATTCATTATACATAAAAGTCCAGCAATGATTCTACTGAGCGTGAAAAACAGATAAGTAGAAAGGTTTGGTGTCAGTGGCTCAGATTTTCTGTTTGGGCTAAGATTCTTTTTCTTTTTAGCTTCCCCCCTCCCAAAAAAAAACTTGTGTTTGTTCTGAGGATACATGAAGTTTAATAATTTTACTGAAATGTGCAAATTCTTGACATATTCTTTCCCTTCTTAATTAGGTAATTTAATAAACACAAAATACAATTTTACCATATTTCCTGACTTCCAAAAAGTTAATTACACGTAGTATATTTTATTTGTCAATTATATTTCCTTTCATGGCAAGTTAAGCTTTTTCTTACAGATATATTGTAGTTATGTTTAACAACATTAAACCACTTCTGATCAGATACTGCAAAAATTATGAGATTTCTGCCTTGTGCTTTTCAATATTAATAGTTAAGTCACAATTTGTCCCTTTTAATTTTCAAAGGTACAGTATGAAAGGTCGTATCTGTTATAAAATCATTTGCCCAACTGTATTTTTTTTCCTTCACCATTATATTACCATTTTTCATAGTCACTGTTTTGCTCCATCAGGACTGTGTATAACCTGAAGTTTGGGTTGAGTGCCTTGCTGTGGTCTTAGGGCAATCAGTGAAAAAGTGCCACATCTGCAGCTAACCTGCATCTCTGCATGTACCATTTCCAACCACAGCCTCTGTACTTTACTGTCTGCTCCTTGAGATCCTGAATGGTGAGACATGCCTATTTCTCAAAGGCCACTATGTGTGTTCCGTTGGCTTTAAGTGTTCTTCATTATATTTACATGTGCCTCACAATCCAAACCTACCACATCAAAGAATTTCTGATGTATTTTGAAATATATTCCTGTGTGTGTGGGGGGGGGGTACATGCTCATACAGTTGTACATGGGGCCCCCTCTCTTCCTCCCTCCCTCCCTCTCTATGTACAGTTGTAGAAGCTAAAAGTAATCATGGGTATGGCTCCTCCAGAACTATCCACCTTATTTTCTGAGACAGGGACTCCCATTGACCTGGAGATAGCCAATTAGGTAAGGCTTGCTGGCCAGTGAGCCACAGCAATTCACCTGTCTCTGCCTCCACAGCACTGGGATTAAATGTACACCTGCCCAGTTTTATATGGGTTCTGGGGTTGAATGCAGGTCCTCACACCTGCAAAACAAGCACGTTACCAACAAAGACATCTACTTAGGCCTCTAAGCTATATTTATTTACAGTTTTTATTGGACACTAAATTGTCCTTGTTTTGTCTATCTGTTCTGAGAGTAAATCTGTGTTTGATGTTTACTCCTATTGTCCCAGGCCTGGAAGCATATCTCATGCATACTTAAAATGCTCCACAGCTATTTGTTAAGGAGCCTTTCTGTCTCAGCCCTTGGAACCATTGCACTGGGTGACTCCTGTACGAGAACTTATTCTGGAGCAGCTCTCTCCTCACCCATGTGCTTTATAATGCACTGTTCACTACTTATCTGAAATTGTGACTGACCAGAAATACTTATTTCCTGATTTACATTAGTTTTACTAACTTTATTCGGTTAAATAAAATCTTGTAAAGTATGCAGAGTTACATTTAACTTCCTGCAGAATCTGACATCTAAGATGCTATTTAAAGTCTTTGTGTGTGAAACAGATTTCTGGATAAGCATGAGTAGGTCTTTGTTTTAAGAAAATATATAAGGATTGAAAATTTTATGATCATCTGTCCTTATATTTAGCTTATTTTTAACAGCTTTATTTAAAAAAAAACTAAGATGCATACAATGAGACAAAGAGGAGACAGAAAATGTGAAGTATTAATTGATGCTCCCTTTAGGAAATGATTTTGGGAAAATTTAAATTTGCAATTTAATCTTTTTACAAGATTGTTATCCACAATGAAGTGTTGGAGAAAAAAAAGGGGAGAGTTTATAAGTGTAGATTTGTCTCATTCCAATGTTCTTCAAGACTTAGCATCAGAGTTAAAATGGAACTTCATCTCTCAGGAAACAGACATCAATATGAAGATTAAAAAGTGGCAGTCTATGAATCATGCGTTATAGCTACAGACAAGGTTATCACTATGATTTATCATCCAACTATCTAGATTTCACTACATCAACTGAACTGCTCTGCTAGCTCAGCCCTCTCCCTCTTCTGCAAAATGAGAGGATGGCTTCCTTCCCGAGTGGCTTTCTGCTTGCCTATCTGCAAGTTTGGTTACTCCATTTCTAAAGAACTAGGACTTAACAGTATGTATCAAAAAGCTCATATTAGAGATTCCCACACCAGAGGACTAACAAAAGCCTGTGGGAAACTCTAACATACTCTACTCATTAAAACTTTTGATTAGTAATTTTACATGTGTTCTATGAGACACAAATGTAAACTAATTTGTCTCAACCTTGGAGCTGCAACCCTGAAGTTTGGGGTAGGGTAATGGGTTATTTTAAAGCAATACTATGACTCACCCATGAGATTAAGACTGAACATGTTATCTCTGCACTTACTAATATAGTATTTGTGTCTTACTATACTGCACAGACCCTTCTGTTTTCCATTTGAAATATTTATTTTTAAACATATGTATCGTATGTATGTGTGTGGGCATGTGCATACTAGTGAAGGTGTCTATGGGACCTAGAGGTCTCCGATGCCCTGAACCTGGAGTTATAGGTAGTTATGAGCACCTGATCTACATAGGTTCTGGGGGCCACCTGGTCTGTGTGGGTTCTGGGAGTTGGTTCCTGTTTTGAGCTGCTGAGCCCTCCCCAGTCCATTTTCCAAATCTCTAAAATATGTTTTTCTTACACGTGTTTTCCTTAGACACAAGTTTAAGCCCCTTGTGTGTTATGAAGTGATCTCATTCATTCCTCTGTGGTAGCCCAGAGCAGCAGTTAGGGCTGGGCCCCGCAGCAGCCAGGTCACAATTAGAGTTAGCCCTAGCTCCTATTTAGTCACTCAATTTGATATTTCATCTCAATACAGGACAGATTAAGAGATTTTTCAAAGGCTGAGGTAAATATTATTAAAAATTCTCAATTCATAAATAATAGTTATCACATATAATTTCATTTTAAGTTTAGTAAAATGGTTAACTCGGGGGAACTAAAATAACTGGAAACCTGTTATTTAAGTTTGAAAGGACTTTAAAAATTGGTTCTATAAAGTGGCATGCCTGAGAACTTGAGATTGGGATGGGGTGGTAAGCACAGGGCACTGTGATGGTCATATGTACCATTATGAGTGCCTCTTACCTGATACAAAGTGCCATCCTGAGAGCAGACTTGCGAGGCTGAGCAGTTCAGACAGCGAAACTGCGGAGGAGATGAACTCATCAGATAAGAGGCATCCACAACGGGACACATTTAAAACGTGCTATTTAAAGTAGTTTAATGTCAAACACAAGTACCAACATGAGAAATTTAAATAAAGACTGAGAAATGGTGTGGGTTTTTTGTTTTATTTATTTATTTACTTTTTTGGGTTTTCAGACAGGGTTTCTCTGCATTGTTTTGGAGATTATCCTGAAACTCACTCTGTAGACTGGGCTGGCCTCGAACTCAGAGATCCGCTTGCCTCCAGAGTGCTGGGATAAAAGGTGTGTGTGTGCCACCAATGCCCAGCTAGGTGTGGGTATTTTGGAAGGGAAATATTTAATAACTGGTGATTGGCAAATTTTAGTGTTAAGTAATTTTAGCATTTATCTATGAAGGTTTATGTCAGTTTGTTTGTTTTTAATATTCTAAACCTACCAAGATGGTATCCTACCCCTTTCATTGTCAAATGTTAGTTTCTGGGGAACCCTCATCTCCTAGTAGAGTGGGTACCATCTTCCTTCCACCTGTGCCTGAGATTAATCTCTCCTATGCCTTCTCTACAGCTACTCTGAGAGCAACATTATTTAAGATCACAACTCTTGAGGGGACATGGAACTGATCTTGGAGAGACTGGTCCATTACCCTTTTCCTTTCATATCGCTCAGGTTAGATTTTTAACCCCCATGCCTGCTTTAATAGCATTGATGAGTTCCTGGAGTCTGATCCTCATGTTTGAAGTCTTAATAGTTATGCAACTTATACTTTTCAGTTATGCACATTTTTAACACTGTATATTCTTCCAAGTTGAAAAGAATGAAATCTATAAATAGCTGAAAAATTAAACATAGAAATGTAAGTTTAATCAGGAAAAATTTAACTTCCCAAAGTAGACCTTTAAAGGCTATACTTTAGAAGATTTTAAACTCCACCAAGTTCTCTCTGGAAGTTGGTCCTTTATTATGCATAGTGATCACAATCTACAGACAGCCTGCACTTCTGCCCTTCACTGACTTGGATGGGTCCACAAGCTCTAACCTACTGCATATTGTCTGACTGTGAAAGTTGCAAAAATCATTCAGTAAGAATACAGAATTAAGATAGAAGTGATTTCATTATTTTTTCCCGTTAATCTTTTTGGTATCAGTTACATATTTTTTCCCCCTGAAACTGCCACAGATTATAAACCAAGCAATGAGAGACAGGCATTGTCTGAGGCTGCAGAAAAGGTGGAAACTGCAAGGAGCATCTTGGAAAAGGCAGCTAGATTGAGGGAATGCAACCTACCCACAAGACAGTGAACAGGAAGAACATGGGTCTGATGGGGGATGTCCTTTAGAATGCTGTGAATATGTTTCTCTTATTGGTTGATGAATAAAGCTGTTTTGGTCAATGGACAGGCAGGAAGTATAGGCGGGGCTACCAGACTAGGAGAATTCTGGGAAGAGGAGTTACAAGAGTGAGTTGCCAGAGAGATGCCATGTAGTTACCGGGAAGATAGGACTCCCAGCCATTCTCTGGTAAGCCATGACCACGTGGAGATACACAGATTAATAGAAATGGGTTAACAATAGAGATAGCTAGCCAATAAGAAGCCCGAGTCATAGGCCAAACAGTTTATAGTTAATATAAACCTGTGTGTTTATTTGGGATGGAACAGCTGCGGAACCAGGTGGGACAGAAACTCTGTCAACACAGTCTGTGATGGAAGCTGGGGGTGAACAGACAGATGCTGATAACAGCTCTCATGGAGTGGAGGAAGGGTGGATGAGGATCATAACACAGTTTAACAGAGACATTGTTTTCTACATTATTAGATTAGGCATTCTGTTAAATACTTTAGTACACAATATTAATTCTTGCTCAATTTTCCTTACACAATACTAGTATTGTCACAATTTTAAGGATCCCAAAATCTGAAGAAAAATTGGGATAAGAATACAACACAAATATATAGCAAAATGTGTTCAGAACACACAAGCAGTTCCTAAAAGTCAACAAGATGACAAACTCGTGATTAAAAGGGCAATGAACATGAATACTCACAAAGATGTTATATTACTAATATGAATATCAAGAAGTCAGAAAATGGGCCCTCTTGAATATTACGGGAATGACTGCAACTTGTGAAACTTAGTCCATCGTAAACCTAGCAATCTAGGCAATGGATATACTTGTTCATTTGCAAAAATACATGCCTTGGACTATATACAGCACTGCTTGTAAAGTTAAAATGAAAATAAAACCCCAATGACCACCAAAATAGTTAATTAAATTATGCTAGTCACACAAATAGAAATGTACCAATACATTAAAAAATAACTTGAAAATGTAATCATTTTCATTAAGACATATGGAGAATAAAGTTGCTAGCAATATATATGATTCCATTTATGTCTCAGAAAACTGATAACCACTGGCACTGGCATTATGAAGAGAAATACTAGGTAGATGGTAAGATCAGATGGCTACATACATAATCCCTGACTGAAACATTAATCTCTAATTACACACCCTCAATTTATAGAAGCCACAGAAGAAAAGAAACCTGGTCACAAATCATGTCTCCCAAACCTTGTTCTAAAGATCAGAGATGTTCATACATTGAGTAGAGCTTTCTAGAAATGAGTCTCAGGCCTGCCCCAAGCCTATTGAGTAGAGCTTTATTTTGTCATGACCATTTGTATTTGCACTAAGTATCTTTATCCTACTAGTCAACAACAGATCAACTCCAACATTAAGCATAACAACTGTCAAGCAAAAATACTGTCATGAATTATTAAATTTATAGCAGCTGTTTGACCACATTTGTTTTACTCTACAGGGAAAAGATATTTAAAAATAACACATCATAATGGTGACAAGGTTAGAAGGGGTCATCTTTTCTACAAGGTACTAAGCTTGAAGAAGACCCTAAGCTGGGAAATAGCAAAGACAGAATTCCATTTACCGCAGTACGATAACTGCAGAATTAGAATATGTTTCTGATAGTGCAGATTTCCTCTCTGCAGTGTGCACCTCACCTGGCATCTCAAATGCTTCAGGCTTAAGGATCACATGGAAGCCATGCACTTGCAACCCTTAAAGCCCACAAACAAGGCAGCTTTTATTTACGCAATACAATTGTACTAAAAAGGTGATCCCTCAAGAGTTTGATGAGTTCTTCAAGGACACACAACTATCAAGTGACTGACACTAGAATGTAAGTTTTCCTCCCTGGTCATTTTTTGCCAGCGACTAGGGTATTGAGCCTTACAGAGAAGATTTTTATCCACATGAAAGCTAGATAGGAAAACAACACAAATCCTTATTTAAGAAATTAGTATTTCAGTATTCTTGTTATCACTCATTTTCTTCTGAAAAAAGTAAACAAACATCTTAATCACTATATAGCACAAGGAGTTTTTGAGGGACTCTAACATCTCAAAAGATGTCACTTAAATGTGATGTCAGCATACCTGTGAACTACTGAAACACAGCAACCACCATTACTTGTAGATACTACATTATCTATATTGTGTGAGGTAACAACTAAACTTTCTGCTGTATTTCATAATTAACATTTTCATAAGGAAATGCCGTAGAGACATTATAACGCATGGCATACTATACTACAGTCTGTATCAGACTCTCGATGTCTCATGGAGAAGCTTGGGTGTTAACTTTTGCAGCTTTCTAGTCAATCTTAGGTACATTATGTATTCAGAGCATCAGGGGAATCTGGTAGCATTACAATAGTGCTCCTTATTCCCAGATGGCTTGTAATAAAGTACACAGAGTGAGTGCCTCGCACTTCCCTAACATTCCTGGCTCAGGTGCACTCAAAGAGTTAACCTAAGCAAAAATACTTACAACACAAAAACCCATTTTTGGGGGAAGGAGCTGATCTTAGGTTTCTCTTGTGAACAATTTCTCCCTCATCACTAGGGCCCAGGGCACAATCATCTATTTCTGGTATGAGAAACCTGCACCAATTCACTTATCCGTAGGCCTGACTTTACACTTGTAGTGATTATCTAATCTTACCCATCTGTTCTCTCCATCACAGCCCCAACAATTCCCCTTTCTGACTGTTAGTGATCTCAGGCTAGAATGGAGTCTCTGACCCCACTTCACACACTCACATTTCTAGGGGACGGTAAGATTTAAAAAGCACACACCGCCTCTGCTATCAGGCTAGCAAAATCCTGGATATATTTATTACTGGACTTAAAAACTCACCTTCAAAATATTTAACAGAGACATTATCTTGTACTTGGCCAAATTTTAAGGTGCTGGAGAATAAAGAGGAACCAGCTTCTTCTCATTCCCAAACTAATTTCTTAAAGCTGCTAAATAATATTGTTAAATTTGAATTATATAACTAAATATATTCATAGGTAAATATAAAAGCAATTTACATTTTCTCCTCTTAGTCGCCATCTTGTCATATAGATGAATTCCATAGTATGATCCTTCCCCATAATTTCACCATTGCACAGCACATCCAACTTTAAAAAGAATAATTAAAATATATCAGTCCAAAGAAAATTTGAATTTATAAATTTTTATACATTTTCAAATTGTAAAAGATCCAACTAGTTATACCAACATAAAAGTATTAGTTTCAAAAAAACACTGAAATTTCAATCTCACAGAATGTCAATAGTTCAGATGTAACACGAAACAGCATTTATCTTGTGCTATAAAACCATATCTCAAGTTGATACACAGTTTACAAATGCAATACCAACCATCTTGATTCATGTTTCTGCAATCCTCCGCGTTTTATTCTTTAAACCTGGGACTACTCTTACAGAATGAAAAAATGCAACAAGTGTATTAAGAGTGTGGGAAGTGCGTAGAAGGGTAGCAAACTCATTCTAAATCCACCGCTCTGCATCCTCTGGAGTCCAGGATGGAAAGCAGTTTTACCTCTCCTTAGTCTAGGGTCAGAGATGGGGCATCACAATGGTGGCACACACCCGTGCTCAGGGCTGTCTGGCTCTGGTGTACTTGTGGGTCCTCTTCTCACCTTGTATGAAATGTCACAGCGAACAAGTCTATAGGCTATAGGAAAACACCCCTAAAAGCTTAGGAAGGCCACAAGAACTTTGTGTGCGGTTCACTAATTCAACAAAGAATATGTAATGAGTGTTTATCAAAGATCCCTATTAATGAGATATCTGTCCTCTAGTTTCTAGTGAAAGAAACAGGTTAAGATTTTATTTCAGATGTGGAGGGGGGAAATGAGTTTTAAATAATAGTCTATCTATCTATACAAAGACTGCAATTTTGAGCTTGAAGCCTAACACAAAATATAGTCCAGATTATATTAGATATATGAACTAAAAATTGGTATTTTAATGATCTATGGTGATATATAACCTTTGAAAATTTTCACTTATGAACTCTTAAGAGAACGAAGTAGAACCTCTTTATCTTGCCTGTAAAACAAAGCCCTAAGCAAAGATATAAAGGTGCAATTACTAATCAGGCAGGCTGCACCCACAGTCACTAGCAACTTGAAGTACCCTGTCCCAATTATCAATGCTGCCATAGAAGTTTTAGACATTTCATTAAATCAAAGCCCTATATGCTGGGAAGCAAAATAACAGGAGACCAATCTATATCTTAAAGAAAGCAAAGGACAAGTTCTTTGATTGGGATACATAAGAAATTGTTAAAAATGAAAATCATAGTACATGGCAGAAGACAGAGAACAGTTCTCTTAACTCTAGTAACTTCCTGAAGATAATTAACTCAGCAAACCAGACTTTAAAAAAAGTACCTATACACAATATTTTGCATTAAGAAAACAAAGAAACAACACAGTAAAAAAATTCATTGTAAAGAAACAACACAGTAAAAAAAATTCATTGTATACTTGTCACTATAGATGTTATCTATAAATTGTTATCTTTTATGTTTATAACGATTTATTTTTATTTTATGTGCATTGGTGTTTTACCTGCATGAACATCTGTGTGAGCATGTCAAATCACATGGAGCTGGATACAGACAGTTGTAAGCTGCCATGTGGGTGCTGAGAATTGAACCTGGTTCCTCTAGAAGAGCAGCCAGCTGCTGAGTAATCTCTCTAACCCCCATATAGGGAATTTTTTAAAAGAACAGAATCAAACTAATAAAACTCAATGAACCACAAACAAAAGGAAGGCACAAAAGTAGTAGAGTGTACTGAAAAGGGTTCCAATCAGAGGAGGGGCAGATGGGAGAGGACAGTGGTAGGGAAGCAAGTCAGATTCACTATGTAAATGCATAAAGCTGTTAAACAGTAAAACAAAACAAAACAAAAATTAAAAAGGTGACACATCTTAAAGCATGTTGACATTATAAAAACCATTAAGCTAGATTTATTTGGGAGTATTTTATATAAGTTTCACAAATATCTTCTTTAGTTACAAATGCATTGATGTGATTTGCTTGGGACATATTGTTATAAAATATCACATAAATATTATATTGTATATGCTGTATATACAATGAAAATAACCAGTTTCTACAAAACATTTGAACATATCATTATTTCACTGCTTTTTCTAGAATTTTCCTACAGATCAGAATCATCAAAAACAATCACAATTAGATATTATTTTACTTACCTCATAAGAACTTGGAAGTTTTAGTTTTAAACTTAGAAACTTTTTAATAGTTCCTACAGTAACTCGTGTAGAACATCGAATGAATTTCTTCATGAGACCCTAAAGGAAACAAATGACAAATGAAACACTTTTTTTTTTTTTTTTGGACTAAAATCTTAGGCATTCTCGGGCATATACTTGTAATCCCAGCATTCAGAGGATAAGAGGGCTTCGAGTTTGACTTCCACCTGGGCTGCAAGTTTCATAAGACTACCCCAAACCAAACCGTAGCAACCAAAACCAAAGGCATGATTTTCACTATACACTTTGAGTATTTTCAAAATGGAAAACAAAAAACAAAAACTTTTAATTCTTTTAAGTAACATGTTCTTAAACATTGCCCATTTATATGATATTCTTCAACAATGCATTAGTGGGTGAATTAGCAAGATCCTATCAAGTAGACAATCTGTTTTTCTCTAACATTTTTAAATAAAGAAAATAGTTTAAGGAAAAGGCCACAAAATATCAACATTTTATTAGATGGTGTTACTTCAGAAAGCGGTAGGGACACTTGCTCAGCATAGTGCAGAACTGGAACTAACTGCAGAAAGCAACGCTTTCACATACGACTTGGGAGGAGCTCCGGACAGAGCAGAAGGCCCCAGCACCTGCCAGGTGTGCAGTGTGGGCTCGGCGCTGAGGAAGAGCATTCCCCAGGGAGCGGCTACTGCAGATCCCTACATATCACTAAGGCCTGCATGCTCCATGTGTTTCTTGTTTTACATGGAGACACGGGTTCTGACTCAGTCTTTGAGCTTGAGCAGAGCTCCTGTTCTCCAACTGCTCCTTACACACCACTGTTCAACCTCCTACAAGTCATTAATAATTCAGAGACGTCAAAATAGGTAAGGGAACATTTTTAAGATAAGGCAAGAGGATGTTTCTATAATTCATAATTCAATAAAGTCTGACACAAATCTAACACAATTCTAACCTGGAGAACGTGAAAGTTGACTTGGAAATACTTAGAAAATAAGCAATAAGCACTTTCTCTAGAAATACTTTATAATGAAACCAATTAACTTGCCCTGCTTCTTGGTTTTTTACGCCTGAGATTATCGTATGGATGGCTAGAAAGCACGGACACCATAAGAGGCAATGACTCACAGCGAAGTCAGGATGGCGCAGAGAAGCTGGGAGCCAGCTTCTTCGCACCATCTCCTACCAGACATATGGAGAATGGGAGCACTGTGCTACAGCCCAGGGCTCACAGGAGACTGCAGGGGATGGGGAGGAGGTCCATGTCTAACCCTACCTACCCTGCTCAGCTGTCTAGAAAGGAACATCTGCATATCTGAAGTAACACTACATGGAACAAGACTGTTTTGTTTCAAGAATATCATCTTCCTCCCCAAGGCACCAAAGCCCTTACTCTGCCCTGTTGTCTTTCTCCAGTCAGGAAGGGCAGAATTCAGAAATGCCCCTTCCTTCTAAGCTATTTTCCCTGAGGCCACAGTGTGAGTGCATCGTCTGAAGTGCCCGACTCAGCTACTTCAGAGACAGAAGGCTCAGCAGCCTTTAGAGGCTGACAAAATACAGACCTGATCTTCCTTTGCTTCGGAAGAGTTAAAAGACTAAACCCAAAATCTGCAGCGGTCCCTCATGTGGGTTCCAAGGGGACTGCAGCTGGATAAAAACAAAGTCAGCTTCTTGTTTAAGCCCAAATTCTTTAGTATTGCATTTCACATCTCTACCAAGCAGAGTAATTAACAAGTGTGACTTTAACTTCATAAACTGAAATATATCACCATAAAGTCATTATTTAAAATGAACAATTTAGTAGTTTTTATACTTGTTCAACCATTACAATATTTAATTCAAACTTTTCCTTGTCCTCCAAGGAAATCCTTTACATGTGCGCAGTAGCAGTTAACTTTCTATTCTGCTCCACCCTACCTGGCACCTGCTCATCTGTCCTGAGTGACAGGCCTTTCTTTTTAAACCACTTCTATCACTAATCACAGTGAGTAAATACTCATTTGCTTACTATGCTTCAATATATTCTTTGCTACAAGATGCTGATAACTGAAAATCTAAGTTAAAAATGATTTTTAATATCCTAATACAAAGTACCATCATTATTAATAATACAATAGTAAATAAATTCAACTGAAAGATCTATTGAGTTACAGAGATGAAACAAAACAAAATTATAAGCAGAAAACATGAACATGTACACAAAACAAAATACAGAGAAAAACCCTCAGTGACTAGTATGGACAAAATGACAGAAATCTATATAAGAGCTAAAGTAGTGAATATTTATAATGAGGATGAAAGCTGCTGCCAATTTAAAAAAAAATCAGGAAACAGTAAGACAGCAGTGAGTTTTAAGATCCTTTAGGAGGAAGTTGAACGATCAGATGTAGGGACACAGGATAAGAAATGAGGACCACATAGATAACAACTAAATCCTTGAAGGAGTGTATTCGTTCATAGGGATTTTATAACATAGCTTTACTTCAAAACCTACCATTGTATTAGTAAAACATATTAGCCATGCCACTGGAAGCTTAAAGAATTTCAAATAAAAGTACAAGAGTGAAGAATATAATTCAGGGCTGCAGAGACGGCTCAGCAGTAAGAACACCAGCGGTCTTCCAGAGGACCCAGGTTCAATTCCCAGCACCCACATGGCAGCTCCCAACCACCTGTAACTCCAGGGGACACTCACTGATAGCTTTTGATGGCCACAGGAATGCATGTGATACACAGACATACACAGAGGTAAAACATCTACAGATAAAAAATAAAACTAAATTTAAAAAAGAAAACATAAAGATAATAAAAAAGGGTGCAGACATTGCTTGAATGAAATAACCAGCCTTGAACTGACTGCTGCATTTTAAAAATTAGCCACTAGATGGTGGCATTTGCCCGGGAAGGTTGGGGGTGGGATGATAGGTGCATGGAAAGCAAGGTCTGGGTCATTCCCAGTGTGAGCCCGGGAGAGGTTGGCATTCAAGTGCATTATGTTAACAAAAAACCTTGAAAGAAATCATTCTGAGGAGTTGGAAAATTTGTCAAAAATTAACAGTGAAATCTGTCCACTCACCTTTACTACATTGTCCCCTGACTGCCCATTATTTCGTAAACAATCTAGACAGATAGCAATTTGTGGGTCACTTCTATGGTAGTCCTTATCATCTTGGTTTTCATCACCTTCTTCATCTGCTTTAGATTTGTCAGCCTTTGAAATGTCATCTGTAGAATTGAACAAAGCCCATGGAACCCAACACTGAAAGTCCGTCAATAACACAGTACTCATGAAAGCAGTAAGCACCCTGAAATATTTCCTAACGGTCTTAAGAAATGTTAATACTTTTTAAGGTCTTCTAACATACTCAGCAATGGAGTACTCATCAAAGGCCATTAGAAACTTTACACTGTAAGAATTCTAGGCATACTGGAAAAATCCAAATCAAAGATTCTGGATTAACTGTATTTGGTCATAAAATGGCGTTGGTGATTAGGCCACTTCAGAAGGCAAATAGGATACGAAATACTTCCAAGTTCAGTAACTGATGTGCTCAAATTAAAAACCAACTGTTAACTTTCAAATTATATTCTCTCTAAATTCTCCAAATTACAAATTATTTATAAAATCAGCTATAGAAAAAAAATGAGAATTAGATTTTTAAAAACATGCTTTGTAGCCATTTAACATGTTAAAATTGCACTAAGAAAATATGAGTACTATGAACGACATTAAGTTTATTTAAAATGTTACATGCATGCAACAGCATTTATTGATGTGTTTATGGAGTTTCAGACACACATTGTGCACTTAGTCTGAGGTACCAAAATGTCTGAAGAGGAAAAACCTTCCTTGGGCTCTTGTGCTGGTGTGGTGCTGTCTGGGAGGCTACGGAGCCTCTAGGAGGGAGTCTTGCTGGAGACGAGCGGCTCTGGAGGGTTACTGCTCAGCTTCACTTCCTAGTCTCTTCTTGGTGGCAATGGGTTAATGTGACTAGGAGCCTCCTGCTCTCGCTCCCACACCACACACTAACCCACCTTCCTTTCTTCTTGACAAGAGGCAACCAGGAGGGGATGGGGAGGCAAGTACTTTGTAACAGAAATGAGGAAGTAACAAATACCAGGAGTTACCATCTTCAGAGTTATGGTGTCAGGGTATAGGAAAGGGGAAAAATAATTTTAAAAAAGGCAAATATAGGATGGGGAAGTAAATGAAATATGTGACCATGTAAGATCCAGGAAAGTTTCAGATAACATGTTTCTACCTAAGCTAAATATGAAAAATCAACTAGCCAAGAATTACACCTATAAAGTCCCCCTACCAATTGAGAGGACAGTCTTTGTTAATATAGTAAAAGCCTCACACTGTACCTTACAAAAGAGGAAGATGGCTCTTTCTTTTTCCCATCCATATTTACACAGAACCCATGTACAGACACTGTCTTTCATGAACCAAACACCTAGCTCAATGAACCCCATCCCCCACTGAAGACCAAATCCAAAAATATTTTGAGAAGGAGAAAATAGGAAAACGGAGACAGAAATCACAAACCAGGATATAAAAAGTGTCTGTTTTGTGTATGGCCCTCATATACAAAAGAAATCCTAGCTTAAACCTATTCTATAATTCTGACAGCAATTCCATGTGCTTCTGTGCTAGTAAAGACTGGAATATTTAATTTTGCATGATCCACTGTTTTTTTTAAAACACCAAGCTGTCTAAGCACATTGTACACAGGTAAAATAAGCTTTTGGTTAAGCAATTTCAGCATCTTCATTTTGTTGTCCATAAAAACAGCCTCTTGCTACCTTATTCTACTAATAAAAATTACTATCAAAGCTCCCCTGCTGAGGGATTAGTTCTACAGTTAAGTAAACTATTAAAGCCATTATCCTCATTATAAATTCGAGAGAGCCAGCATTTCCTCGTCCATCTGAAATGGCACTGTTTTTATGAAACTTGATGACAATTCAATGGTTTTATGAGAAAATTAAGGCCAGGACTACATTCACAAATGCACAGAGGATACTTTGATGATATTTTGGACAGCCTGAATGATGTGTTTAAAAACATGAAGAATGATAATACTTTATATTTTAGATATCCCTTTGTATGGCTAATATACATACAAACAGCTCATTCTCAGTACAGTAATATCTACGTTGTGAACATTATTTGAAGATGTGTTACATTTGTTTATGCTCTGGAACATTTGTTTAACGATGCAAAGATGTGTTGCTTTTTTTTTTTTTTTTTTTTCATTTGTTTAACTCTGCAAAGCTGTGCTACTTTGCCTGTCTAAAACACCTGATTGGTCAATAGTGAGGCAGGAGAAAAGGATAGGCAGGGCTGGCAGGCAGAGGACATAAACAAAGGAGAAAAAGAAAGCAAAGAGGAAGAAGGAACAAGAAAAGGAGGAGGACATCAGGGGTCAGCCACCCAGCTACACAGCAAGCCACGGGGTAATAAGTAATGAAAGGAATACAGAACAGAGAAAGATAAAGGCCCAGAGGCAAAAGGTAGATGGGATAATCTAAGGTAAGAAAAGCTGGCAAGAAACCAGCCAATCTAAGTACAGGCATTTATTTACATGGTTTTTTTTTGGGGGGGGGAGCTGGGTGTGGGCTCCCCCAAAAGTAAAGACTTAGAAAAAAATTCAGCTACAATTTGCCACTTTGTTGAAATTACTGTTGTTACTGTGTGTAAATGTGTGCATGAATGTGTGTGTGTGTGTTATGCATGTGTGTTCACAGAGGACAAGACTCAATCTTGGATGCTCTTCCTCAAGTGCTATCCACGTTGCTTTTTTGAGATGGGGTCTCTCACTGGCCTTGAGACTAGGCTGGCCAGCAAGCCTCAGAGACTGGCCTAGCTCTGCCTTCTCTGTGCTGACTTTTAAACCCTGTATACATGCATATATGTGAATGTCAGAGGACAGATCTCCTCCAAGTCAGTTCTCTCTTGTCACCTTGAGGGACTGAGGGACCCAACTTAGTTATGTCTGTGTGCAAATTTCTCCGGGCCCTGCTGAAATGGTTAATTATTACCTGGGTCCCAGAAAAGAAACCTGGACACTTGGTCTGATGATGGGAATATCCTGATGAGCGCACACAAAGACACCTGCTGACAGATCCAAGTCCTAAGCCTGAACCCTGAGCATTCCACTTATGTTCCTTTCAGAGCACAGCAAATCCCAACTTGGCTCTTAGCCACATTTCATTTCTATCTCCTGTTAAAGTGTTTTTATAAGGGAAGTAAAATTAAAATGCCCTCACGTTTGAGGTGCACACTTAGATGATTTCTTATGTCAGGTTTTCCTGTCCTGAAACTATTGGTATTAACACCTATTCAGTTTTCTCTTTCATTTCTTTTCTTTCTCCTTCCCAAAAATCCAATTTCCACTCTCCAACTACCTTCACCTATGCTGCTCTTCACTGATTCAGATAATACCTCATGAAGGGCTGCACGAGTCTTGTACAGGAAAACCGTGAGCGTAGAAAGACATTACTCCACCAACTTAACAATGAGAGGCTTCAGAAAGACACAGAAAGAGTTACCTTGTCCATTTTCTTGAGGTTTGTTTTTTTTCCAAAATTCCAATTCACGCTGAAGTTCCTCTAATTTGAAGGAAAAAAAAAAGTGAAAAGCATAGGATGATGAAATCTTTCAAAGAAATACTGATCTCACAAAACATGGAAAGTCTGTAGAATCCAAAGGGCAACTTACGTTCTCGTAGTCCAGGTACCAGCTTAAATATAATCTCCTCCAGTGTATTATCCAACCTTCAGGGGTTGGGAGGATAAACAACGAAGATGTCAAAATCCAATATACAAACAGCTCAGATTTCTTAGATGACACACAGACTGCAGGGGCTTTTTACATTTACTTTTTTTTTTTTTTTTTTTTTTTTGTTAAAAACCCTTTACTTACTACACCAGGGTTGCCTTCACATGGGAGCATGCCCACTTCTAGTAGTAGTCCCCAAGTTCCCAGCCTTCTCTACATGTACACCCTCTCTGAACATGCCTTTGCTGTTCTTCGCTTGATAAAGAGGTAGAGCACAGATGTCTGAGAATTCCCAATCCCAAGAATAGGGACTGCACTGGAAAACTGCTTAGACCAGACAGAATGTGGGGCAAATGATGCTGAGCTTGGACCCTGCCTGGGTCTTGAGGCCTTGCAATTCTGCTCCATGTGCAGCAGCCAGAGAGGTGCTCCACTGCCCTGTGGAGGCTGCCCTAGACCACCGCACTGGCAGTCCACCCCAGTAAGCAGCAGAACACAGCAGTTAACCGAATGAGCAGCGACGAGCACCGCCAAGGCCAGATTGCTCACTAACCCACACCAATGGCGAGGAGAAAGGAACGCTGTCATTTGAAGCGTTAGTGTAGGGGTGGTTTGTCATACAGCAATAGCTAACGTCCCACTCTTCAAATCCCACAGCACTGGCTCTTTCCTAAAAATGAATACTCTCCATTTCACCTTCTGCTAGCACCTAGACACAAACTTATTTACCTTGGCAATTTTCTAGTTTTCTTTTCCTCATAATACATATCCCTTCTTTTTCCTGGCTCCATTTCTTCAGCCTATTGTGCTGCTTCTACAACACCTGCCCTTACCTCATTTTATCCTGCTTAACAGAGTTACTCTTCTTACTGCACAATCATCTAAAGAAGCAAAATCTCTCCCTTGAGCGTCTGTTACAGCTATTTCTGGAGCGGGAGAGGTGGCCCAGCAGTGAAGAGTACTAGATGCTCTTGCAGTGAACTGGAGGTCAGTTCCCAGCACCCACACTGGGCTGCTTACAACTGCCCCTAACTGTAGCTCCAGATCTAATGCCTTCTTCTGGGCTCTGCACAGATCTGCAGTAGACACACCACACAGAGACAGACAGGCAGGTAGGTGGGGGTGGGGGGTGGGTGGGCAGACGGATGGACAGATGGATACACACTTTTCGGATGGATACACACTTTTAAATCTTCTTTCAACTTCAAAAAATCTGAAGAGTATAGCCTGCTATTTCTGTTACATACTCTGTTACTAGCTGCTTTTTACCTTCCTGAACTCCCTATCATTGGTCCCTATGACCAGTGATCTGATAGCATGGCTTCACACCAACTCTGAAATTCCCTTTCCCTGTTTAAATTTTTTCTCGTCTGTTCTATGTGCCTAAATACTTTTCTTTATCCAACTAAAGTTATCCCCCACTGTTAGGGAGCTGGTTCCAGCACTCTTCACAGACATCAAATCTGGGTGGTCGAGTCTTTCATATAAAACACTGTAGGACATCAAAGCTAATACACATCTTTCTATAGCTTCAAATCAGCTGTAGTTGCATGTAGTAATACAATGTGAATGCATTGATTAATTTTTTGTTTGGGGATAATGACAACTGAATGCTCAGTACAGAAGCAATTTTTCTTGCAAATATATCTGATGGGAGGTTGGCCAAGTCCACTGGAGACAGAACCCGGCAATAGGAAGGGCTGCATATTCTGTGTTGCTCTCTGTATGTCACCTTCCTTCTTTCAGTTCTTTTCCACGGGCCATGTTTCCAGGGTCCTCATCTATTTTTGTAGCTGGAAACTAACATGTGAGCAGTTGTTTGCTTCACACCTTAGGTCTAGTCTGTATTTTCAACAGATGCTGAACAATCAGCCACCTCCTTTTACCCACGTATGTCAAGACTGTCTCATAAAATCCCTCCAGAGCAACATAGAACATCCCTTAGCTACCTCACTTTCTTACAGTTTTAAATAATACTACAACACTCCCAAACAGGCCCAGAGTAGAGGACTGTTTTTTCCACCCGATTCTCACACTTTTCTCTGAGCCTCACTCTCAGCTACTCCTTGGTCTGTCTCCCACATACCCTTTCTTAAGTACCTCACACCATCCTTCCATTCTTAGGTACCATCACCTGTCAGTCTCTTTTCTCCCAGCATGCATTTTTCCTACCATTGCCTTCCTGATAATTGTATTACCAACACATTTATCCAATCTAGTTCATCTGCATCTGAAAATAATTCAACTGAAGTCACTCTGAAAAGCCCAAGAAAATATTGTCATTTTAACTGCAGATATATTTCCTAAATATTACACAATCTTATTTCAAACTTTTATTAAAAGATTTAAAAATGAAGTAAAATGCAATAAAAAGACTAAATGTCTGACATGTTCAAATAGCATAATAAATGATAAAGATTACAAATGTATATAAAATTATACAAATTATGAAATATGTATCTTTACCTCAACATTTCTAATGGATTTGTTTCATGAACTTGGTTGCCACACCTCGGACAATCATTGCTGTCTTCAAAGTGCTGGACAATACAGGTCTTACAGACTAAGAAAAAATAAGACAGTAGGTTAAAATTAAACACTACAAAATGTGGTGATATTTTGTTTATGATATAACAAATAAAGCTTGCCTGAATATCAGAGTGCAAAGCTAGCCACACTAGTTAGCCACAGAGGCCAGGTAGTGATGGTATACTCTAATCCCAGAGGCAGACATATATCTGTGAGTTTAAAGCTACCCAGAGCTATACAAAATTGATCCCATCTAAAAGAGAAACAGAGCTCACACAAAGATGATCTCAGCACCTGGGATCCCATGGCTTTAATCCCAGCACTGGAGAGGAATATAAGGCGGGAGGAGACAGGAGCTCAGCCAAGTCTGAGGACCAGTGCAGTTGGGAGCAGTCTGAGGTTCTGTGGATCACCCCTTTGATTTGAGCATTAGTGGCTGGCCGATTTACTTCTCTGATTTTCAGCTTTTACTCCAATATGTGTCTCTGGGTTTTTATTATTCGTGCTACAACAAATTTTTAAAATTATACTCCCCAAATAAAGCCTAACTGAAATCAAATACTACTGCCACAATATCAAAAGAAAATTCCAATTTACTTATTGTTTCTCTATTCATAGCCCATTAAAAACTGGTACATTTTATATAAAAGTGTCTTTCTTATTTAAAGTATGACAGAGAAACGTAAAAATTTCTGATTTTATTTCTTTTGCTAAAAGTTTATCTGATTGAAATATAAACCATTCTCAATAAACTTGAAAGGCTGGACATGTAGCTCAGCGGTAAAGCACATCATGTCTGTGAGACCATGGGTTTAATCCACAATAATGGAAAAACAAAACTCTGCAGAGTTTTCAACATGTTTGATTACTTATACTGTTGAGGTGGGTCCTGGGACAAAACAGTGATTACGACAGAATTTCTGGGCCTTACAGAGCATGATGAATTTGCGCTCAGGGATGCCAGTGTCACAAAACATACAGAATAGGATATGGGTGTCATGTTGGCACAAAGGCATAAGAGGTGGAACTGGAAGAAAGGCTGAGAAATGGACAAGGGAATTAGAAGATTCTAAATGAAGAACAGAAAGCTTAGGAGATGCTGCCGAAGGGGAGAAGTGGTTCTGGAAAAGGGGAAGGAGGGGCAGCCTCTCGGAGTGACAGGTGCTTACAAGAAGGTCAGGGCCCTAAAGGTGGTGGCAATGCAGTAAAGGTCAGACACATTCTATGTGAAAAACATGGCAACATCATGGAAGCCATTGACAAGTTAAAGTCTGGGATGAGATTCAGTGATCACAATATAGTGAAGATAAAGCCAGAGGGACCTGGGTAGGATGACCAGAGGGTCCATTGTAGGACCATTTCCTGCCTGTAAGTGGGATGGATAAGCTTGTGTTTACAGACCCACCGGTTAAGACAAAATTTGGATATCATATTATTATGGTTGAAGGGAGAAAATAAAATCACATGAGAGACAGAAAAACAAAAGTTTGGAGCCATATGGCAAAACAGCCCACATTTCCTCTGAACAGAACTAATTTCTGTGGTTATGGGTTCCTTTTATCTTTTACCTATGCGTCTGTTACCTAGTAAGCCAACTGCAAATTTCAGCAACTGAACTATAAAACTGCAATCCAATCCCTATCCTAATAATTCCCTTTCCAGTATCTTTTCTCTATATTATCTCATTTTCCCTCTGGGTATAGACCTGCTACTCTTCCTTTATTTTACAACTGCCCCCACGCTAATCCCTTTCTTCTCCTTATATCCCATATGCTCTGACAGAAGTGAAGTTTGTCTAAATGACTGGTCAGGAGCAAATACAAAGAGGTCTCCCACTGAGATTAAGTCTGCAAACTCAGGCATATCACACACACTGCCTAGAGCAACAACAGGGAGAATTCTGCCAGTCATTTCATTTTTTTTTTTTTTTTTGTTTATTTGTTTTTTTGAGACAGGGTTTCTCTGTATTGATTTGGAGCCTACCCTGGAACTAGCTTTGTAGACCAGGCTGGCCTCGAACTCACAGAGACCTGCCTGTCTCTGCCTCTAATCTTAAAATTACTTAGTATGTATGGGAAATAAAATCACTTACTTAATTTAATTTTTCATTTACTTAAAGAACTGAATGTCAGGTATTAGACTAGAAGCTGGCAATATAGGAATGAATGACACAAAAGTCCCTATCCTTAAAGAATGTATACTATGCTTAGAAACACACGTACATTTTAATGGTAAGTGGCAGTCTTATCTTCCCTGCCCTTAAGAAGGTAGAGGCAGAGTCCTGATGTCTGGCAGTTGTTTAGATGCAATGATCAGGGTAGGTAAGAAAGTGCCATCTCAATACATCTTTTCTATGCTGTTTGATAAGGGCATTTAAGTCCCATTCTATCTTTCCCTTTATTCTAACAGTCAAGGGTAGTAATCTCTTCACTATAATTCTTCTGAAATCTAGATGAAAGGCATTGGAAAACATGTTTAAAAGTTAAGATAATAAAAGTAGCCCAAAGTATAATATAGAAATATTAGTCTTGTTCTTCAAGATATCCTGATACCTAAAGAGTGCATACAAGTTTTTGTTTGTTTGGTACAGGGACTCATGTAGCCCAGGCTATGAATTTATTAATCTTGGTCCTCCTGTTTCTAGCCCTCCAGGACTGGGATTACACATAAGCACCACTGTGCCCAGACTCCAAAAGGGTTCTTAAATGTTTGTTCAAAAGTCAAAATAATCTCTCAGAGGGTCATTTTGTTAAAAACAGACGGAATTCCTTTAGGAAAGTCCTGGTATGTATGTACTCATTCCCTAGAGTCACTAGATAACTAAAAGTTAAAGGGAAAAAATAATAGATAACAAGAGTAAATGATTTTTGATGAAGCCTAATACGGCTAATACTGACCTGGAGCTCTGATTCTTGTGATTCACAAGTTTTATCACACTTAATGAATTCAGCAACCCATGGTTGTCTACAAACCTTGACCAAACACAGGTACATGCCATGCCCAGAGCAAATCCTCATTAGACTAGCCAAGACACTAAGGGTAAGACCATATCTTCCCAGGGACACCAATACTAATCTAAGTTATCTGATCAAAGAGACGTAAGGCTGAAGCATGCAAAGGTACACAGAGTTCTAAAAATAATGTGTGTGAGCTGCTTGTGGTCAAAGCAGCATCAGTACCAGAACACTGATGAGGAATACTTATCTACATTCTAGATCTGGATTTTCAATATGGAAGCCACTGGTCACATGCTGTTACAAGTACCTGAAATGTGGTTAAGTTGAGATGTAATGCAATTGTAAATACACACTAGATTTAAAATATTTAAAATATAATTAACCTAAATAATTTTTGTTATACAAATGGGAATACCAATTATCTTAGATATACTGGTTAAATATTAAACTTGTTTCTTTAAATGTGGCTATGAGATACTCTAATTTTTAGGATTTTGTGCAGATGGATGTTTTGTCTGCATGTATATCTGTGCATATGTGTGCAGTGCTCTCAGAGACCAGAGAAGGCCTTATATCCTCTAGAACTAGAGTCACACATAGATGGTTGTGAGCCAACATGTAGGTGCTGTCAATAGAACCTGGATCCCTTGAAGAGCAGTGATCTTAGTACTGAGCCAGCTCTTCAGCCCTGTATTAATAGCAGATAATTTTCAATGCACATGCGGGCTACTTTTGGGGGGTGGGGACTAAATCCAGGGCCTTCACCATGGCAGGCAGGTGTGTCCCCAGCCTTGTTTGAAATTTCAGTTTGAGACTGAATCTCAGTAGCTCAGGGTGGTCTTGAAGTTACTATATTGCTCAGGCACACTATCAAATTATATGGGGTTACAGGCAGGAACCACCATACCTATTGTGGACCACAGTTATTTCTACTCAAGACTCTAAATGGACAGAAACTCCTGTCAAAAAGTGGGTTTATTTTTCAATGGGGACATTTGAAAATACCATATTTTATTCATGTCATCAAAATGAAAAAACAAGAAGCTTCTGTGGGTCTTTTCTATTAATGATAACAATAATACCTAACTAAATGCAGGATTTATGACATGAACTGAGACATTTCTAGAGTTTAAGGCTCAAAACTAACCTTAAAAATAATTAAATTTGAAAAATAAATTTAAAAAGAAAAATTAAGATGTAGAACACCACCCCATTTTTATCCTAGAGTTCCTCAATGTTCAAATGATTTGCTGGTGGCTGGATGGCTGCAATCATCATCAGTATATGACAGGAATTACATAATAGCCACCATCCTACATATGTATGTATTTTCTGACTTCTATGTATAATGTGAATATCCAAATTGACAAGCAATTCAATGTATCAATTTAGTGATCCTCAACCTTCCTAAGGCTGCAACCCTTTAATATGCAGTTCCTCATGTTGTGGTGACCCCAACCATAAAATTATTTCATTGCTACTTTATAACTATAATTTTGGAGAGAGAAGTTTGCCAAAGGAGTTGCAATCCACAGGTTGAGAACCACTGCATTAGATTCATTAATACAATCTAATAATCTGATTTCCACTAAATTGGGTAGCAGTGTTTGACCTCATACATGAATAGAGGACAAACTGTCCAACATTATCAATGATAGACAGTAAATGGTGAAAGTGAGGACTTGAATTCAGAGTCTATGTCATAACTGATCCATACAATGTATCTCTTCATGCTCTTTCCTACTGGTATATAAAATATAGAATGAGACTTCCTTATTCATTAATTTGGGAGTTGTACATGAGTCAGCTTGTAGAATTAGATCTCCTTTAGTATATTTCATAAATAAAATGGCCTTTCAAATAGCTATTTGTTCTTTTCTTTAAAGAAACAAAACTCTAGGAAATATAACTGCCTTCTGGCTTTTCTGAGGTGCAAAGTAAACACTGTGTTTATATTACACAAATGAAAGCTTGAGGAAACCTAGGCCCAAAGAAAAACGTGAAATGGCGATAAGGTTTCTAATGTTTAACAACTTTTCATCACTCGGAAGCGGTCTGTGAGCCTCAGTTCAGGAAC